AAAATCCGATCAACCAGGACAAACCCACCCCCCCCTATGTGACAACCCTTGGACCGGTTGTTTAGATGACCCAGGTTGGTTCGCAACAACGGGCTCCGTACATTCGCATCGCAGTACACACTGTTTTCGTCTGTGACCGGGAAGGGCGGAAGGGTGCTGTGGCGAACCGACAAGAGGGTTGAGCACGTACAGTTACCCACTCTCATGTTTAACGTAGTACATCTCGACTCTATACAAATCTCAATGAGTCCCGCCTCACTCCGTCCCACTTAATCAAAATGCAAGTTAGGGGACACAACGTCGTTAATCACATAATTGTTACCATGACAAAATGATTAAGGTCGGGTAGCAATGAGATCGGGTGACGTGCGAAGACGCATGCGACCAATATCTCTGGTTGTCGACAATCAGCCTGATGGAACAGAGGGCCAACTGACACGTATCACTCGCGCTTTAAAGGAGAGAGAGGGAAAAGTCGATGGCAATCCCCTCGCTCACACGTATCACAAGGATCGACAAGGGTTGGGAAAAATAAGGAAAGCAACACGTTCATGCATACAGGCAAACATTTAATACCCCAACACTCCCCAGACTTACGCCTACATGCGCCTTACACACATGACCTCATTCCACATCTATACATCCGTCTACTATCTTGGACAACGAATTATTCAACATCTATAAACCCTCATAGCCAATGCAATGCATAAGATTGAGTACTCACACTTAGTCTACTGCACACACCACACCTGGACAAATCAACAATGAAGAAAAAAACGATTCCCTCGCTATTCGAAATTCAACATGGTTGGCCTCCTTCAGGAGCAGCATAAACCAACCTGAACATCAACCAACCATAGCCACAAGGCCCTGCCGCTGGCTAGGTTCTATGTCCACCACCGCTCCATCCCTCTGACTGCCTCACTCCCAAGTCTACCGCTAATCCCACCTCACGTCGTCACTCCGCCCATCAGTTGGGCATGTCGAGCTTGTTCGACGTCGTAGTCTTCGCACATAGCTCGCGCAACATTGCAACCGAGATTAAAGTGGAGGAGAGGAAGGGGCTGCGAGAATTTATCATAGCGTAGAAGACGGTGGGGTACCAGTGTGCGGTGCGGGCAACAAGGGATATAGATGAGCAGGACTGAAGAATGGATGAGATCTCCGAAGGATCGAAGAAGGCAGAACGATCAATAATTACATTCAATTGGGGTGGTCGTCCAAGTTGCGCGTGTAAATTATCGCGACATTGATCTGACCATCCCAAGTAACGACCAATCAATCGTACCGAACGGTGGGGAGAGGATCAGGCGCCCAGTTAGGGAAAGACGAAGGGGCATGCACGAAGGGGCGCCCAACAACTTGAAGAAGGGAAGATGGCGCGCATGCGCAGAGCAGGAAGCGAATCTACGCGGCATGTAAAAAATTAAAAAAATGGTCACCCGTGCTCTTAGCACAATTTTATTTTAAATGCTGACAACCGGAATTCCTAACTGTTTTTTGAATTCCTCAGCGCAGTCGCTAAGCATCCGCGCAGAGGTCTAATTTGAACGAGAACCAAGGCAATTCCAAAAGATGCATGCATTTAATCCCCCGAGGATGAAAATGTTCTTAATCAACTAAGATCCGTGCTTCGGGGTTTACCGGGTTCTACTCCGAAGGGTACATGAAGACGCAAAGTACGGAGTATAGCTTATCACAAGCGCTGGTGCCGGTCACCAAAGTCCATGATGGCCATCCACCAGATAGTAAGTAGGACATCCTGAACGTTGAAGCCTGAGTGCTAGATGAGTGCTAAGATGGGGGAAGTTGGGGGTTCACTAGGAGAAATATCGAGGCAAAAAACGAGAGGGGAAAGGGTTCCCTAACTATGAGAAAAGGAGTACGAGGGGAGCAACATATACGGAGACACGAGTCCAGGTGCCCCCACCTTTTTTTTTTTTTTTGGCCATTTCTCTCATTTTTTAGGGGGAGAAAACTATGCGGGGGTTACAAAAATGAGATATAATCGTTTTTTTTTTTTCTTTTCTTAAGACCCATGTTGTTATAGAGGTGGGATACTAGACGGATGGCAGCCACCCACAATACTTCAAGTTAGCCACTCCGTTGTCCAGATGAACCCATTTTGAAGACCCCATCCACCCTTCTTCTCATCTTTTTGCCTTGGTCCACCCAACCCCCCCTGTCCTACCCTAGTGTTAACCACCCAGGACCATCACCCATTGCCATCTTGGCGGGGTGACCTAACCAGACAGCAGTTGCAGGCACCGGGGCTAAGCAGAGACTCCTACCCCCTGCTCAGCCTTGGTTGAAGCAGACGCCGTGCAAGCCTGATTGCACGGGGACTTCGGGAGCTAGGTATGAACATGCTACTATAAGTCTTCATGAGCGTGTACACACTACTCCCATCTAACTTAGTTGTGTGGTGATGATAGAGAGATGGGTATCCTCCGTTCCCTCGTGTGTTCCTGTAGCCCGTTCCGGCCCTGCGGTAAGGTGCAGTATTTCGGACACCCCCGACATCCCGTTAGTCTTAAACTAGAACTTGCACAATATCGTGAAGTAGTTGTTGTTGCTCAATTTGGCTCAGATCTTGATGCTACCACTATATCTTTTTTCTTTTATCTGTAACAATAAAATTATCAAAAAAACAATCAGATGTGCGTGTTTTGAATCGTAACTTTTCTAATCTTAATGGATGATAAATGCATCTTGATAGGAGCCCTATGTGAATCTAGAGAGACTAAGAAAAAATAGACCATCCTCAACCCTATGCTACGTACTAGGAGGATAGTTAACCCTAGGTCATGAGTTATGGACTGAGTTTCTTATCCTTATGTTGTCTTACTACAATGTTTTGTGGTGTTGATGGAAGAGAGATGAAGATCCTCCATTCCCTCATATATCCCTGGAGCTCGTTTCGGCCCCGCGGTAAGGTGCAGTATCTCCTGATACCCCCGACATCCTGTACTAAGGACTTTTATGCCAGCCTCAACTCTAAGCTACATACTAGGAGGATAGCACACCCTCAATCATGAATCATGGACTGTATGTATTGACCCTGGATGATCTATTAGCCCTGTGTCGTATGGTAATATGAGAGCAGAAAATCCTCCGTTCCCTCGTATGTCCCTGGAGTTCGTTTCGGCCCTGCGGTAAAGTGCAGTATCTCCTGACACTCCCGACATCCCGTACTAAGGAACTGCTATACCAGCCTCAATCCGTTGACTGCGTACTAAGAGGATGACCAGCCCTAAGATACAGTCTGGTATCAAACACATGACCTTATGTGAATCATGCAAGTGACCTAACCTATTGACCTACACTTTGAAACAGTCTGTAGTTGTGCTCTGATGGGCTTGCGTAAACTGGACTACGCAAACCACCCAGCAGTCTCATGACAACCCCGTAGACCAAGAACATTAGAATACCCACCATCACCCAGTCCCCACATACAACAACCATGGACTACCCCTTGGGTGGTGCGCAGGGAGTGTCTGTAATAACTTACCTGTGTCATCTCAAGGGGGTGTGTGTCCAGCCGTGCGTCATTATAACTCCCTGCCGGTGTCCATGAACAAGGCTGCAGAGTTTAGAACCCGCAACATGATATCACAATGCGCATTTCAAAACGGTGCTCTAACCACTGAGCTACAATCGCAGTATGGTCCAAGGTACAGTTTCAAATTGCTCTTTGGGCAATGTATAGAACCGACCTTTCTGGTCAGGTAGGGTGTCTAAAGTGTAATTGGAAACTGTATCTTGCCCCAAAGTGCAATTATACCTTGTTTTTGTGACTCTACTGAAGTTACCCCTTTTTTTTCCCCTTTTTGTTGGGGGAGGAAAACTCCAAGCAGGGGGCCCACTTGAGTTGATGATACGCTCATCCGTCTCAACTGAGCCCCTCAGTGAAGGCTCCTGCTGGAAACCAGCTCCAGCATCCCTTGATGTATACATCAATATGTCCTGACATTCAGATCGTATGAAGCTCCTTGTACCCCTGTTTCTTTGAGGCCATACTCACATGGGGACCTGATGACCTTAAATCCTAAAATTTGAGGCAGTTTTTGGGTCAAACCGGAGAGACCCCCTACCCAAATACACTTTTCGGTGACCCTTTTGTCAGCAGCCTGTCGGGCCGTGAGAGGACCCTTTTTGAGACCACCTCCAGAGGTGGTCTCAAATTATCTTTTCATTTTTTTCTTTCTCAGTGAGGTATTTCAAGAAATCCGTGCATGAGCAACAGAACTGTGCGTGTGAATTCAACATTGGAAAAAAAAAACAAAAAAAAACACTCCATATATTTTTGGGTGTAAGTTGTGTGACTACGTGCAGTTCCTGGGGCGTGCAAATGTCCGGGCCGTGACTGTGTCCTTTGTGGTGACCCAAAGTCGCAAATTGACCGTACCAAACGCCTTAAATATTTGCGCCTTTAGGTCCCCCGTGTGAGTATGCCCTGAGTTCCCTCCCCCTGTCGTACAACAATTTACCCCTTGCCTATGTTATCCTGTACTGTAGGTGTAGTAGGGGTCCCTCAACCCCTGCACTGGAGGGAGCCATGCCTTCCACCGTTGGATCCAGCCTGTTATGGGGATTGACCATTTCTCGATTTATGCGTGCCATCCTTGCGCAGGGGCCAACGTTCCAATTTTATCGGATGCCCCTAAGGACTCCCCACTTTCTTTTTTTGAAAAGACCAACGGCCTTGAGATATCATCATTAAGCTGACCGGATCCAGGCAATTCATAAATAGTTGGTCTTACAACTTCACTCATCAAGTTCCATCATCTGGATTCGAACACTGGTCTGTATTGGTTGCTAACATTGTTTGCAGTGGGATGACTCCGGCGAGACTAGCGCCTGGGGAGGGAAGCTCCTCGGCTGCTAGGCCTGCGCGCGCGTCTGATAATCGCGCGTGACTCCTTTTGCCACGTGGCGCCTGTTGTTGGTGATGTGGCCGTCCCGTGACGCGCGGGCAGGGGTAGCGCCAGCCGTGACGTCGAAGCGGAAACACGAGAGGGGCGCAACTATCTGGGCTAGAGATGGAGTTGGGGGGGAGAGCTACAACGAGGAGCAGACGACTGGTTGATGACCTTGGAAGAAGGATGCAGGAGGTTACAGGTGATGGTGGGCAAGCTGTCTTTGCGATCTCACGAGGAGCCAGAGGACGTAGGGGGGGCGATCTCTCAGGCTGGCTGCGTGAAGAATATGGCCGACGACATGCTAGACATCATCTGGGAGTTGGAGGAGGGGCCGGATCCCCAACTAGAATCCTGCATCGATTGGACGAGGGCACACGGCATGATGTCTACCTGTTATACCCTCTTCATTGAGGGCAGTAACCTGCGCTATAAGCTGGAGGAGCGGTTAATTGGCGATGACGACAAGGAGGATGAGAACTGGCAGGAGAATGGAGCACAAAAAGACAAGGCTAACTCCGACGTCAACACCGACAACAACAAGAACAACAACAACAACAACAACAACAATATTAACAACAACAACGACTACAACAACAACAATGACAACGACAACAACAACAGGCTTAGCAATAATAACAATGACAACAACAACATCAGCAACAACAACGACAACAACAACAGTCACAGCGACAATGATGTCAGCATCAACAACAACGACAACAACAACAACAGCAACAACGTCAACAATTACATCAACAACGACGAAGACTACAACGACAGCGATGACCACGACAACAACGATGTGGTGGGAATTGGGGCAGATAACAACAACAACGACGATGGGGATGATAACAACAACAACTGCGATGATGGCGGCAGCGGTGACAGTGGTGGCAGCGATGATGGCGATAGATATGTGGGGATTGGGGATGATAACAGTGATGGGGATGACAATAACAACAACAAAGATGGGGATGACAACAACAACAACTACGAGGATGGCGGCAACGACGACGGCGGTGGAAGCGACTACGACGGCGGCAGCAACGACCACTGGAGCAGCAGGGCAGAGAGCATCAGCACGACGGGAAAAAAACGCTATGCTGACGTGGTGGGAAGTGGAGTAGACACAGATAAGAGGGTTATATGCGGAGTGATGTGCCTGGCGAGATGGGGCTTCAAGTTGGGGTTGAAGGATCAATCTGTCATTTCCCCCCCCTTCTATCTGTTGTTTCTACATGGTGACTTGTTCTTCACTGTCAGCCATCGGGTGGGAGTAGGATAGATGCCCACCTCCCCTTTTTTGATTAGAGCTGACCGGCCCTCAAACTCTAGTTATGAAGGGGTGTCGATCGCCCCCAAGGGGATGTAGGGTGCTTAGGGTCTTGAGTTTTGCTTTGTTTCCCTTCCTCGGGTGATCGATGCCGATGGTTTTACAGATGGGATAATACTTCATGGCCACGAGGCCAATCCTTCCCTATCGCAGGGAAGTAATCAATGCCTCTGCTCATCTTGGAAATATTCGGACATATTATATTATTGATAAAGTTCACACGCATCATATCACTGGTAGAGATTTGTGCTTAGTCTTGATGGATAAAGGTCATACATATCACATCATATCATTGTTAGGTTTTTGTGTTTAGATTTTGATAGATATAGAACACATACATCACATACACATCACACATACATTACATACACCACATGTATCACAACTTTGTTAGGGTTTCGTGGATCTGCATAGGGGTGTTTGGCCCGATTTCCAGCAGATACATTCACATCACCGTACAGGGATGCTGAACCCGATTTCCAGCAGATACATTCTCATAATTGTACAGGGACGCTGGACCCGATTTCCAGCAGGTGTAGCTCCCCACCAATAGATGGAGCCTTCGACGCTGGGGCCTACTTACCGGGGATGCTCTTATCACCTCGTTAAACCACCGGTACCTCTCCCTACTTGAAGAATTCGACGCGGTCATTAACGCGCCGCGTCGCACGGGGTACCCACCGGCGTGCGACTGGTAGTCCCCAAAAAACGGGC